AAGCCAGGCTCTGGAACCAGGAAGATGTGGGTTTGAACTTTGGTGCATCACACCTTGAATACAAATTTTATGAATCTATTTTTTCATCTCTAAAATGGAAATATTAATACCTACCTTGAAGAAGTGTTATAATAATTAGTGAAAATATATGTAAAGCAGCTGGCATATAGCAGAAATTGAAGAAACTTCAGCTGCTGTTATAATTTCATTACTTATAAACACACCCAAGAGAAGATATAAAAAAGGACACAATAGCAAAGTAAATCAGAACCTAGGTTACAATTAACTGCTAAAACAAAACAAACACACACTGTGATAGTGCAAGTGAAACTCTGGGCTAAACTTTTTGTTCACATTTTAGATACATAAGAGAATACTGTAGCCCCTCTTAATAAATATTTAAAATCCAAAATTAACTACAGGAGCATTTAGTTTGGAGCTAAATGAAAATAAAAGATTATTATCACACAGTAAAACATAATTTTATGAACAGGTGTGATGATTTCACCATTGGGAAAAAAATGCCAAAACTAAGATTTAAAAATGCTTATGAAAGGATAGTAAAAGGTTCCTACCTTTAAACCGACTGCTATAAGATCTGTAACAACACTGTATGGAAAAAGTAAAAAGAGAAAATGGAAAACAAAGTTAGAGAACAAGTTTTTAAAAGACAGATAATAAGATTAAAGGAAAAAAAAAAAAGAAAAGCATTACAATAACAAATAATAAAAATAAGAATGTGATGAGTTGTGAAATGTTAATACAAAGAAAAGTGATGGGACAGCCTAGCAAAAGCAGAATGTAAAACCAAAGCTTCAATAGAAATGTAAGGAACAACTAATAAATCAAATTCTATTTTAGTATTTAGAAAAGTCTAGTTGAGCTTCAATAAAATGATTGTTTATCCATTTACCTCTTTTTAACAAATCCAAACCAAAACTTAAAATTGCCAAAGTTCATTCTCTGAAATCACTGGTATAAATGGCCATTTCTAAAATTTTAAGTGAAACAAAACCAGTGAGTGGATTTACAGAAACAGTGGGAATTTGGAAATTTGTATATACCACCTAAAAGAGCTCACCAAAATACAGCTAAGATGGTCTCTCAGAACATACTGAATTTCAGACATTAAATTTTCAAAGATTGGCTTTTAAATCAATTCTACCACATCAAAACTGTGTTGGAGGATCACTTTGTAAGTTATATAATTGTCTAACCTCTATGCTGTACACCTGAAACAAATATAAAATTTTAAAAATAGTAACAGTTGATTTAATTTAAAGTTTAGCTTATATTTAAATAAAAGTTAACTATGAAAAAACTGTTTTAAATATAAATTATCTCAGGAGGAAATGAACATACACACACAAGACAGTTGGGATTTGAGGAGGAACTAGAAAGATGTAATGACTGGTGGTTTTTTTGTGTTTTTTTTAACTATTCAAAATAATGAAAAAGGACCTTTTTTCAGGCAGTGGGAAAATGTAGAAATTTAATTAGCCCCCTGAAAGCCAAAATTCACTGTGTTCAAAACCACATTCCTTAACACCAACGTGTAAAAACCCCTATAAAGTCCTGCCGAACAAAAATTCATCTCTTCTAACTCCAAAGAAACTGTCTTCAATTAAGTCTGTCTACATAGCTCCTAAAAGAAAACTCTAAGTTCTATATGTTGTTAATAACCTATAATATCATCATTACTTAATAAAAATGAACAAATTTATGACTCTGGACTGTTTAATGATGCAAACTTGTTTTAAACAATAGCCATGTAGATGTATTTTTCCTCATAGACTTTGAAACTTGAAATTCATTTCCTAAAATTTAAATGTGATAAATAACTGATGTTTGTGCATAAAAAATAAGACCGTGTAATATACTGTGGTATTGGTCCTGTTGCTGTGTAAATCATGCACCTACTTGAACTCCCCCAAATGAACTTACCTTTTATTATTTTATTGCCCCACGTACTTAAATCATTAAACTCATTCTTAACTCTAAAACCACATATAGAATGAAGAGTCAACTTAAAACACTGTCCAAAATATTAAGTTTGTACTTCACGTTGTCCAAGAGTTTAACAGCCAAAATGCATAACCCAAGAGTCCTGTAATATTATCACTATGAATTTTCGAATACAAAAAGCTAACCTGCTTCCATATCTCAGGTCAAACCATCTTACAATTCGCTACACATAATGAAATACCAATTTCACAGCCTTCCTAACTAAAATAAGTGGCATAATTACACAAATCAAAATAGCAAAATTTTGCACACATACACTGTAACTGAATAAGGTAATGTGAAATGAGTTTTCAACAAAGCTCTCAGAGAAGCTTCAACTGAACAATAAAGTTCCAATTCAATAAAAAATACCTTAAAGACCATCCAACCATAAATGAAATGTAAAACTGAACTTTAATGTCTGTAGCCGTGTACAATATACATGCAAATGAGTTAATCCAAAATATCATGTGGACTTATTATGAAACTAGGGTAAATAAAATCTAATGAAGGCAAAAACTGCTGTAAGATTCCATCGTCTTTACACAGCATGACAGTCATCGACTACATGGAAACATGTACCCCCGGCTTTTACTGTTCAAGCAAGTTCTACATATTCTACAACGGAGGGATTTACAGAAATCTTGTCATCAAAAGCAAGCAGAAGTCCTAACGAAACCTCGAATGAGTAATGGGAATAAAGAAGGGGATCTGCAGGTTCTAAGGAGAGCTGGACTTTTAAAAAAACTCGATGTACAGAGACTACGACCTTCAATTAATTCACGAAGATTCTAATCCAGTTGTTTCCATAACGCTGGGTCCCCCAGAGAAATATTTATATCGTAATTCTCAATCTTTTTACTTTGATCACAGACCTCATTAACTTTTAGAGCGTCTGAAAGCTCCCCGGAAATTGCACTTACACAATATTTTGCATACATGGCAGGGAATTCACGAAGTTTCTTGGGGGCGGGGGGAGGCGTCCATGGTCACCCCAGACGCCCGGTCTACAGAAATCGTTAACACAGCTCAGAGCTCAAGTCCGGGGACCTCGGCCGGCTCCCCCGCACGCCAAGACCCCGCGTGGGGCCCCGGCTGCGGGACCCGGTCGCCGCCCAGATGTGCAGGGACGCGGGCACTCGCCGTCCGCCTTTCCGCGGCCGCCCGCCTCCTGCCAGGGGCCGCTCCAGCGCTCGCCCCACCTCACCGGTAAACAGCAACTCCCCGAGCAGGAGGACGCCCGCCCCGAGCGCCGCCTCCGCCTCCCCCAGCGCCGCGCACCATTTTCAGAGANTTTTCAGAGAGGAAGTGTCTAGAGGCCGGGCAGGGCTCCCCGACCCTCGGCGCCGCGGGCGGCCCCCAACCCCCGCGGCTACACCGGCTCTCCTCCACTTCCCGGTGCGAGGCTGTGAGGGGCGGATATTACGGGGGCGCCCCGCGGGGGAAGGCGAGGCTGAGGCGGACCGCCCCTCCGCAATTCGAGCTCCCCTAGGAGGCGCCCGGAAGCCCCGCCGTCGGGCTCAGCCGGGGCCGCTCCTCGGCCGCCGACGCCGCGCCCAGCTCCCCG